AAAAGGAGAGATCGGCCAATTGGAGTGCCGATTCGAGAACTCAAGGAAGGATCAACCAGATGCTTAAGGATTATCCTGATTGGAAGGAGTTTATTGACAAGGAGATTAAGTCAGCCAATCAGTATTATTCAGCTGAAAAACAGGGTGCTGCCCTAGGTACTTGGTCAATGACTACGCTGGCACTGAATTGTCTTAATCAAAGGCCTCACCTTAGGGATGAATGGGTATTTGATACAGCAACTCATCGCCATATCTGTGTGGACCGAGATCTGTTCATTGAGTATACCCCTGATGAATCAGTCGTCAAAACTGGTGACAGTGTCACTCGCACCTTAGGGTATGGAACTGCAGTAATGTCCTGTATTGACCCTAGAACGGGTGCGCGAAGCAGCGTCAAATTGCATAATGCCTGTCATTCACCTACCTTCCAAGCCAACCTAGTCTCGTATGGTTGTGCAAAGGAACGTGGCTGCCAATGGGATGAGATGAACAACTGTATAAGAGATCCGAGAGGCATCCCATTTGCACGTGTAGCCTGGAATGATAATGCGAAACTGTGGCTGTTTGATAAGCCACAGGGTGATGCAACTAATTGACTAGCCGATGGAACTGCCACCTTAGAGAGTGAGTGTGATATCGAGTACGCAATGGCAGTGCGGAAATCGATTGCACCAAGGATCTCTGAGGCATCGTCGGATGTGTGGCATCGCAGATTGGGCTATATACATCCAAATGCAGTGAAGAAAACAGCTGAGATGGTAGAAGGAATCAAAATTAAGGACCCTGAGGCTACTGGCATAACTGAGTCCCCGTGCCAGGTGTGTAGTATGTCACACGCACTACGTCAGATATTACGGAGACCGGTAGGTCGTACGTTTGGCAGGTTTGGCCAGCTGTATTACGACCTAATCGAAATGCCAAAGGAGTCATATAATGGCCACCGATATATCATACATTTCTATGTATCAGGCATTCGGTTCCACTGGGTGTATACGCACGTGCGTAAATCAGAGTGTCAAAACGGAATAAGGGCGTTTTTGTATCTGGCCACCCGTTTACTGAAGATACCCCTGATTGGAATTTACTCAGATAACGAGAGATCAGTGACAGCTGATACTGAACGAGAGCTCGAGGGAATGGGCTTTGTGGTGACACATACTGTGGTACATAGCGCTGAGATGAACGGCCCCGGCGAACGCTCAGGGGGTGTCGTCATTTATAAGGCCAGAAAGCTGCGTATTGAGGGCCAATTGCCTGAGGGCCTGTGGCCAGAGATGGTATACGCTGCGGTGTATATACTGAACAGGACTCTAACCTATCTAGAGGATGGAAGTTGGATAGTGCCCTAGGATGAAGCACGATCACACCTGGACCAGAACTTTGTGAGAAAGTCAGACCTGTTATGTCTGAGATTGTATGGCAGTCTCACCTATTGCCGGATACCGAATATTCCCCGTTCTCACAAACTTCGCCCTTGTGCGGAAGTTGGTTTCTTGGTTGGTTATCAGGCTTCGAATGTGTGGCGAGTTTGGATGCCCTCGTCGGGTAGGATTCAAACCGTACGCGACGCAGTATTCAATGAATCGTGTCGCTGGCACCCTGGCATACAGTTTTGGAGGGAGTACCTACTACCGATCCCAGAAACCTGTGATATCCTCAACGACCGTGAGGAATGGCGCATTATTCACCACGAAATAGGTCTCCCTGACGACTGGATTAAGAGACGAATCGGACATGAATCTGAGGCCGAACAATCGAATCCAGCACCTACTAATGCTGAGAGCGTTAGTAGAGAGCCTGAAATTAAGGATAGCAGTGAAGATGACCCTAAGGAAGTAGCTGATCGTAAAGCGACACCTGCACCTACTCATCTTGAGGCTGTACAACAGTATACTCCGCCACCTACTATTGAAAGACCATCTCAACAGTCTCCGCTGGGACATCGTTTTCCGGCCGGAAAACCTGCTACAGAGACTGAGGGGGTGAACAAAGAAACAACTTCGAATTCTACAGGAAACAAAGATCAGCAGGATGACCAGCCTCAGCAGCAGCAGAATAAGTTGTTTGAACCGGAGCCTCTATCTGAGAGTGAAGCTTAATTACACGAAGAACTGGCTACGCCGTTGCCGGCTGTAGCACCTCGAGACATTGATCTGTCGTTGAGCCCTTCCAATATTATTGAGGGTAAGCGCGAGCGTAGGTCAACACGGCGAGATGACTATATATATCTGGTTACCGAGGACGAACTGTCGGTCGAACCACCTGAGTTGTTATATGCATTCGCTACTGCGTTGAACGCTGAGAAACCGAGTCGTCACCGAGACGACCTGCCATCAGCACCTAAGCACTGGAATGATATGGTCCGACACTCTAACCGTGACGCATTTATGGCAGCAGCCGCCCTGGAGGTTCGGAACTTGAAAAGCAAAGGCACGTTTGAAGTGGTTGATCGTCCGAATAATCGATCTGTTCAGGTCTTGCCACTACATTGGGTCTTTGACTATAAGTTTGACCAGGATGGCAACCTATTGAAACACAAAGCTCGTCTATGTGTGAGAGGTAACCTTAAGAGAGTAACTTCAGAGGAGAAGCGTACTGCTACCCTCTCTGCCCGTACGGCATGGATTATCTTTAGTTTAGTTGCTGCGTTTGACTGGGATCTAAGGCAATTTAATGCAGTAAATGCCTTCCTGAACAGTACACTACTGAAGCCAGTATATGTGAAGCCACCGGATGGATCAAACCTGCCGAAAGCAGTATGCTGGAAGCTTGTGAAGGTACTGTATGGCCTAAGGACCTCGCCAAAGCTTTGGCAGCAGGAGGCCTGTAGCGTATTAGGTAAGCTTGGTTTGACACCACTACCTGAGGATCCTTATATGTTCGTTGGTAAGGGAATTATTGTATTCTTCTACGTAGATGATATTATTCTGGCTAGCGCACCTAATCAACGAGATCGCGCCTATAAGATCGAGCGACAGCTCTACACACACTGGGAGCTTACAGATTATAGAGATGCCCGCTGGTTTCTGGGTATTCGGATTATACGCGATCGATCAATGAAGAAGCTGTGGTTGTGTCAGGATGCCTATATTGCGAATATGGCGGTTAAATTCAACCTTACGAATAAGCCCCGGGTGACGACGCCAATGACAGCACCTGATAGCCTAAAGCCTTACGACGGTACACCGCGCAGAGAGTATATTGAAGAGTTCTCGACCAAATTGGGATCAGCTCAGTATGCTACTACAATTACCCGCGTTGATGCCGCGAAAGCCACTGCTCGATTGGCACAGTTCTTGACCAATCCGGGACCTTAGTATATTGATGCTATTAATCGAGTGATCACCTACCTATATCATACACGATTTTGGGCAATTGCATATAGAATTGGTAGTGGGTTGGAATCTATTGCATTCGCAAGCGATGCCTTATTCGTAGATAACCTCGACAAGACGAGCTCTGCTGGATATCTATGTCAGATATATAGAGGACCAGTTGACTGGAAGGCGTCAAAGCTACGCACTGTCACTACCTCAACCACTGAAGCAGAGCTGCTTGCTCTATCGGAGGCCGCTCGGGCGATATAATATACGATTCGCCTTCTACGCCACCTTGGTTTCCGACCAAACCATGAGATTACACTACGGTGTGACAATAGACAAACTGTCGATCTGATCACCAGCACTAACACCAAACTGCATACGAAGCTCAAGCACATCGATATACACAACCACTGGCTTCGACAAGAAGTGGCAGACGGTAGGTTGACGATCAGATGGGTGCCCACCGCAGAGATGGCTGCGGATGGCCTCACTAAGCCGCTCACACGGCAAAACCACGAACGATTTGTCCAAATGCTTCGATTACATGATGTTCGAAGATATATTGAGGACTGAGGCAGCCGTTCCTGCCTATTTGGGACCTTCAACGGTCTACATCGATTGGATACAGCATTCAACACGCTGATATTGGAAACCTCAGGTGCTTTGAATACTGAGGGGGTGTGTCGGTATGAGTGGGGAATTGGTATTGTAAGGCATGGTCAGAATGTATCATTGTAACTTAGCCAAGAGTCTTAGTCATGGTCGGTCGCATACAAATTAGTATGTGAGCGAACATAACAAAAATTAGACAACTACCCATGGACCTGATTGGACGTACATTTCTGTTCCGACATCTTTCAAACCCTAGTCACATGATACGCTAGGCCAAATATGGCTATCTTTGTATTGAAAAGTCGTACCATGTTTACACGGTAAGAAGGATAAAAGTATAAATCTGTAGAGTCACGTACCGCTACATATCCAAAAAATAAAACCCCTCCCGACCGTCTGCGCCCGAAACAACCACTGCGTCGCTTTGTTCTTCTCCCAGCCTAGCAACTGATCTCCACCCAACCGCTAACGTAATAGCAAAATCATCGAGACTTGATAACGTAAGATGATTACTGTATTCATATGATATGTAACAACAATAGACCCAATGCACCGTAAGTGGCAGAGGTAGCGTAATGTACCGGAGTTCACTTATTCAGGTGTCATGCAACGCTTTGGGCAATATGAATCGAGCTCGATCTGGTCCTTTACTGCACATCACCGCCTGCGCCACCTAAGGACGAGCCAATATTTCACCTTCGCGTCGCTGATCTACTTGTGACTTGAGCTCGACGCGGCCTCCGAGATTTTTTTTTTACGCTGGCCCCTTGCTCAAGGCGGTTTAAATGGAGTCAATCTCAAGTGGCTGAAATCGAACGGGCCTAAATGGTTGGAATCAATACTGTTCGGTATCATTTTAGTCAGAGTGGGTACTCTGGGAGTTGAGCCAAAATGAATCATATTGAGTAATAGACTATTCTATTCGACCCGGGCCAAGACAACAATTTCGATCGCGCTAGTACAAATCCGGAATATGATTGCTTTTCTTTTCGCCTTCCCACTTACTATTTAAATCCAGGCGCCATTCGAAATATATCCAAAATATCAAAATCATTACTCTTTACCATGGCCAGCAATACTTTTGCTATCCCTGAATCTCCGCATACGGTCCTCGTGTCTATCATCGACACTACATGCAAGGTATCCATCGAGACCGATAAAGTGTTTGTTCCGCGATACCCCGGGCACGACTTTTTAAACGTACCAACCTATGCCTTTCTCATCAAGCACCCTGAACTGAATCGCAACGTATTATTTGATTTGGGTCTTCGCAAGGACTGGTGGAACTCTGCCCCTGTTGTTCGAAACATCCTCCAAGAAGGAAAATCTCACCTGTCGATCCAAAAAGACATTCGAGAGATCCTGGAGCATGGTGGAGTTCCAATCAACACCATTGACACGATGGTATGGAGTCATTGGCATATTGACCACATAGGCGACCCTAGTCTCTTCGATACCAGTGTCAGATTGATCGTCGGGCCTGGTTTCAAGGAACACATCTTACCACCATTTCCACCGAATAAGGACTCCATGGTCCTTGAAAGCGATTTTAATGGCCGAGAATTGGAAGAACTGGATTTCACTGAAGGCAGCCTCAAAATCGGACGGTTTAATGCCATTGATTATTTTGGTGATGGCTCTTTCTACTTTCTGGATGCCCCTGGACACTCTATCGGTCACATTGCCGCTCTCGCACGGGTTACATCAGCACCAGATAGTTTTATCCTAATGGCAGGGATGGGTGTCTCCATGGAGGTCAGCTTCGACCTAGTGCCTGCCTGCCACTTCTTTCAGATACCAATTCGGACAATATACCTGCCGATGCAGGTGTACTTTCATGTGGTGCCGTGTTCGACAAACTGCGTGAAGAGAAGGATATGAGAGCCCCATTCTACTCAGCGGCGAGGAACGGCGTCAGTTTTAACGCAGATGACGCAAACGCAACTATTGAATATCTCCAAGATGCCGATAACAGAGATGATGTTTTTATTGTGTTTTCCCATGACGATACACTGCTTGACGTTGTCGATTTTTTCCCGGATATTGCGAATGATTTCATGCAGAAAGGTTGGGCTAAAAAGAGCAAATGGGGTTTCCTTCGGGATCTCATCGAAACCCAGGCGGATTCGGATAATGTTTAAAATTGATGGTCGGGCGGAGAGGTTACATATTTGGATCGGTGATAGATTATGTTTAAATGCTTGTGTTGCCATCGTGAATTCGCCAATGGCAAACATATCAGGTACTTATTTATCCAGAACTATTTTCACAATTCCTCATTCACGGACAACTCAATATGGTCAATGGTGATCAGTTCATAACCTGATTTTGTCTTTTTTGGGGGAGTGACTCGCTACTGTAGTCTTTTACACACAGGGACGTGAATATTTGTGATACCCTGTTTGTTGTCTCAATTGTATCCATACATGTAGGTACAAATTCAGGTATTATTACAATGTATATACACGTTTGGTAATTTACGTGAAATCCATTTTGGGTTAGCTTATCATGTGATTAGGGTTCAAAAAGGTATCGCCATGTTCCCGGGTATGGAAGGCGATAACGGTCGGCACTGTAGTAAAGACCTTGTTCATCAGAGATATCCGATTGTGATGAGCAGATCGATTGAATTTATAGAGGAATAGGAGTCAAATCTCAGTAAAAGGTCTGCTTGCAGTACTATACTCAAGATTATTCTGGAAGGTGACAAATTTGAACTCTCTAACAGGTAAAAGTTTTGTTGAGGTAGTAGGGCTGAATTTGCAACCATTTGCAGGGTGAAAAGACCAAACGAATCACCGAAACTGTCGTTGAATGTCCAATGGGTTGTTGAAGATAGAGGTTCGGGCGCTTTTTGAAGTTCAATCACCTTTCTGAGCGCCGATGAGACAAGCGGAGAATTTCCCCTTCCCCAGTGATAAACGACACAGACATGCCCAATACGAACCATGACCCCGCTGATTACTATCCAATGAAGGCAGAGGCAGTATAATTCGGACCATTTATTTCTACTTGAGTCTGTGTGGTGCCTGTGGGTCATTGACGGCGCCGATTTTTGCCCTGGCAGATGTCTTTGATCTCGACAACTCACTAGATCATAGGAGCCACCGCTAGGAACCAACCGACTATTTCACGAAAATATTGTGTGTATGTGAGCTTTTCATGGTGTTAATTGGCTCATATTACCTCGTATAGTACCCAACTTCCCTTGTCCACAATAATTCCAGGAGACTGACTGGGGAAATTGACTTGCTAAAGACGAAGCTGGTGACAGACAAGTGTTCTGCGGAAACCTAATCGATCTAAAAACTCACGCTACAGAGGAAAATTTGTTGCTAGATGGGGATGGGGGCTGTGCGAATCAGGTCCGCACTGCACCATAGCTGGCATCTGCTCGGTGGTGTGTAGGTGTGGTAGAGTGTCACCGAAATACAAGGTAGGCAATGAAGAATTCTGCGGTTTGGCTAGTAGGGAGCTAGGGTCGCAACATAGCATGACGTTTGCCTACTTCTGATACGACATTCTGAGTAGTGTAAAGGGCTCATCATCGGTGAGTGAAATGGTATGGCAAGATGTGTTGCTGCCTACTCGTCGCGTACGAGATAATGATAGTGAACGTTGATACTTCTCATCGGTTCTTTTCTGCAGCATACTTACGACTGTTTAGATGGTGCCAACATCGACAAAAAAGCTTTTCATCTTCTGGTTCTCTGAGTAAAAATGTGACACCTCTGAATGATGCTTTTAAATTGATGATGATTGGCTGCAATACTATGTCGAGATGACTATCCAGAGTGCCCAAATCACCTTGAGGCGCCACTTTGGTTCAAAGACTACATTCAGTGTGTCTATCGGCATGCCATCTCTCGCCGTGTTTCCACGATTCCTCGCTTTGTTTGGCGGAAGGTCGAGTTCCTTTTTAACGTACCGACAACTTGGAAGGATGTGCGAATGGTGGAGCAAATACGTCAAATTCTTGAACAAGTCATTCGCAGTTTCACATATCCACTTAATTCGCGGGAATTTAACGTGGGTATTGCTGACGGGGCTATCCAATTATGGTAGGTGTAATGGTAGGTTCAGGCTCCCAGGAGCTCATAGACAAATTTGGACCAATCATTTTTACTAAGGCTTTGTGGCCCATGTGGATTAGTCATGGCACCGATTGGCTCATTATTCCTCTGCTCTATTAGTGGTATCCAATGATCGCATTCTACTCGACGACCCACAGGCTCCTGGGAGCCAAGGCCAATTATGAGCCAATTATCTCAAAGACGACTTGAGCATGTGGGCCATCGATGGCACTAATTGGCTTATAATCTCAGAGTATCCACCCGCCTCCGCTTCGTTCCCAGGAGATTGATGTGGGTATTGCCAAACGCAAATATGAGACTGATCGCATTTGTTATACAGAATTGTCATTAACCTATAATCTGACTCACTAAACAAAAGATTCTGTGGTGAGACTGGGATGTATGGATCAGTCCCACGCCCCACTATAGCTTGTATCTACTTGATGTTGTGTAGGTGTGAATGCATTTTCTCCGATATGCGAGGTAGGCAACGAACAACCCTGCGGTTTGCCTGCCTTTGGCAAGTTGCTGTTGTGGAGTCACGGGTTCATCGCCGGTGAGTGGGATGAAATCGCATGATCTTGTCACCTTGCCCGTCGCAGTAAAGGGCGGACTGACAGTGATGAATGTTGATAACTGTTATCGGTTTTTGTCTGCGGTATCCTCACGACTGTTTAAACGATGCCAACGGCCAGAAAATAGTTTTCATGTTCTGGATCACCTGGCGCAAAATTCAATTTCGTTGAGAAATGCATTCAACCAATGATGAAATGTTGAACCATTTATCATTGAAAAAGTATTTTTGTTTGAGCCCTCACAATTCACAATGATCATCGCATCGACGCAGGCAGAATTCCTAGCTGGATTACTATAAGTGCCCGGTCCTTCGCCGGCTGAACAGTCGTTCGCAAGCATTCCTTTGTCGCCCTGGGTCAAAGAACATCGAACGTAGCTCGTCCCTGCGGCCACTCTTTGGTATGGATTGACCTCCAAATCATGCAATGAATTGAGCTGACCTCATACATTGCAAAAGCTTAACCTTTCTCGATAATCAAGTTTTCGAACAGTGAGTGTAGCTGCCCAGCCATTTGAAATCATGCTAACTCCAAAGATGCTTAATATTAGTTCTGCCTCCGCTATTCCGCTGAGCACCCATTGAACGAGCATTTCGGGGTTCTGAATGGTCCAAGCTGCGAGCACAGTGAGTTACAGACTGCCTTCATGAACTGCTTACTGCTTACTGCTTACTGATGATTGATGATTGATGATTGATGATTGATGATTGATGATTGATGATAAATAGATGTCATCCTTTATACAGACCCTTGCAGCCGACAGCAATATCTGAGAATGTAAGTTGCAAATTTTGCAGCGATTCTGAAGGCAGATATCATATGCTAACGACCCTCCATATAGGATGGCAAGCTTTCTATCGCGAGTCACTCAATGACTCGTAATTTACGCTTGGGCTTTGCCCCTGCCCATTCCCAACGCCTGGTACTGCATTTTGATCTCCGTGGGATTACTATCCGTTCGTGGCTCGCTGTTCTTCAGCAAAGATCGCTGATAACTCTTTTACACTAGACCTGACAACCTGACAGAGCTACGTTTCCCCCTCGTCCTCGAAACTCAACTAGCTGCAACAATCTGATGGGCGAAGCCACTGAATTTTACTACGCTTGCACCTTTGCTGTCTCTGAAGACGTGGTTGGCACGGCCACTTCACCTGGCTTATTAGCGGGCCCATTTCAGAAAGGCTTGATACCCTCTGCTTCGCCATGCGATAAAATGTCAAGTATTTTCATTCCTCTTTTCAGCATTACCCTGTCCAAAAAAAGTTCACACTCAATGTATTAGTTTTTGGCAATATTTCGACGGCTATGGATATCCTGCCCACGTCCAATCCGAAGGCTTGTCGGTAGCCATGAACCAGCCTCACTGTTAATCGAGCGAATCATCAGAGCATCTGCGACAACGAGAAGAGGCCGAGACCTGACGGTCACGGAAAAAAAACAACTAATTCCCCGTTGAGCATCAATCAGCAGACTGAAGAGAACTATTGGCAATAGTCTCAAGGTCAATTATTCCAACCCCTGATTGCAGCTGAGCAAGCGCTAGGACAGCCCATGCTTAGATTCACCATAGATCCCTCGCCGCGAGAGCAGCCATTTTGAGGCCAGGTCGAAGTTTGTCGCAAACAAAATACCACGAAACTCTCATCCAGTGTTACTTTGCCCTTACATGGTTGAAGATCTGCCCAGAATCGTGCATTGGCAGGTACGGCTACATCCATTCCCCGTGAAACGATGTGATCCCATGCCCTCCACGTGTGGTCGAGATGAGCCCGCTACCTCATCCCTGGTTTTCTATGCTGATGCCAGGCTGCATCACGGCAAGTTTATACCACCCTCAGTCAACAGAAATTATGTTAACATAGAGTTTAATGAAACACAGCCCTAATCCAGCCGTTCGGGTGAGTCCGATCGATAAAGTGCATTATAGCCGGCCGGGGACCTCGTCTAGGCCACGAACAAGGTAAGTTGCGAGCGACCATATTGCACCAGCTGCTGATAGTTGGTGCTAGATTGAATATATACAGCGGCAAAGTGCCTTGCCTGTGCTCTGATGCAGACGGTCATTTACAGCTGCCACCATGGCTTATTCACGATTGATCCTGGTAAGTACATTCTCATAACTAGAATATTTCGGAAGTCGACTAACTAAAGTCAGGTCGCTGGAACCTGATGCTATGCTCAATGCAGCCGCAAGTCGACCGAATGCATCCTTGATGTCACCGCTGAGGGGCACGGACTCGCCGGCAGAAGTAGCCTCGCCAGGCCGGCCAGTTGATTGCCTAGACGGTCACAAAAGCCCAATTCTTATTTGAAAGATGCAGGTCGGTTTGTGATATATGGTGAAGAAGACAAACTCATTGACATCGAACGTAGCCGCTGATGTTAATCTCAGTGTGGGCGTGGCACGCGTGTTTTACGCGACGCGCAAGTGCACCCAGCCCTTTGCCCCTCGTAGCATGCGTCTAGTGCAGCAGGTCCTCGATAGCCATCAAT